CCCCAAAACCCCAAAACCCCAAAACCCCAAAACCCCGTTAAGCAAAAACTTTGATAGATTAAACAAATAAGATCTATTAATATTCTAAAAAATTAACAGTAATTTATTTCATTCATAAATTAGACAATTGATCTTGAAGCTATAGTATAAAGTTTATTCTTTCTTCATCATTAAGATGATAGTACTCTCCAATATCTGGGGATTGCAAATAAGAGTGTCTTCCAAAGTCATTATGAATGCCGTGAATCGAACCCTTTGACTGCCATGTTTCAAAGCAAATATAGTCCTGAAGTATCTTGCTCAACTTATTGAAAGAGTTTTTAATGAGCTGACGATCTCCGCTGAATAAGGCTTCCAGATGAGATTAGAATGCAGCAGATTCGGGCATTTCAGTGTTCTTTGGCAAATTCTTGATGAAGAAATTATCTTTTGGAGTATCCTCGACCTCGTCTTAGCAGTTTATTAGTAACTATGGTTTCTATATCACCATTAGTTCCTTCTCTTCTTCATCTGCATTCATCACTTAATCTTAAAATTAAATTTTTTGCTCTTCAAGCTCAATCATATCTATATTCATATCTACTGGAATGAACTTTTAAAGCACTCCTAAATGCTAAAGATAAATCTCATCTGTCAGATGCTTTAACACCTCCATATATTTAACTAAGAGATTCAATTGAGCGCTAATGCTGCACAACTGGAAAAAGAATTTTTAACCAAACTTCTCTATTTCAGGCGACTTCATTTTCCACCAGATGTACTTGTAGAATAACTCTAAATAGTCCTCAGCAACCAAGCCAATTTCAGGGGATAACTCTGAATCTTCTATTTTCTTTTCACAAAATATTTCTGCAAATAAACGCTTCAAATGATTCTCTTTTTCTTCTGAACTTTCATAAGCTTGCAAGTAATAGGAGAAAGTGTTCTCAATAGAATTTTAAATTGGTATAATAGATTTTTCTAATACTTTAACGTAGAGACCAGGAATCATCTTGCGCTTCTCATTTTTTTCTATTTCAGCTCTAACTGGAGTATGAGTAAATATCTTATTGAGATTTAAACATGTATCAATCTACCTTGTCATTTTCATTGTCTCATCAGTAACTATTGTGACACTAATCGCATAGTTAGACCAATCTAATTACTTACTTAAATATTGATAGCTGTTAGTCATTCAGAGTATACAGAACTACATGGAAGTTTACTACAGGGAAGCCAAGATTTAGTAAGAAGGTACCGTTGTTTGGACTTATTGCCATATTATCATCATCTGAAGGATGTATATGCACTTCCTATGAATTCCCTGATTTGAAGAACGTACTAGGGTTAATAGATATTCTACCGAAATCTTTACACTCATCAATGCCTCTGAAAGTTGAGTGAATCATTTTGCCTTTATATGAGGTGAATATAGCAGTAAGAGCATTAATCTTTGTTTCCTAGCCTTAACGAGCATTCTGCCATATGTAGGCATGTGGAGCAAAATTGAGTCTGATTTTTTACTAATTACGATCAATCAACATCTGCTGTTTGAGTGCTCTTGCATTAAGATTCATGATGTAGTAATGAACTTAAGACGGTCTCTAAATATTGTTGTTTTCCACTCCATCTTGTAAGATACTCTTCACATTGCTCGGCAACTACTCCTTTATCGTACTGAAATCCAAACTACTTGCAAATTCTCTTCTAAATGCTGCTGTGATATAAAGCCACTGATATTCATATCCTATCATACGAATTAGTCAGTCAATTAATTAATTCAAAAACTTAGTTAAAATTGATTTTGATTGATGCTTTTAAGAATCGTGACTTACCGTATATTCCAAATTAAGGTAAGCATTAAAGGCCCAAAGTAATATTCATTTTAATATCTTCAAATTCTAATTATTTATCTTTTTCGGTGTTTCTGTTCGGACTAAAATTTGTCAAAGATTGAGTCATGCTCCTGATTTTATCAACCATTTTAAAATAATTACTAATATTATTAAAGTTTAATAGGGATTATTTAATGAAATCTAAAACAAATCTTAATAAAATCAGAATAAAATATTATCTAAATTATTAAATGTTTACTAAACCATTAGAAACGGTAACTTTACTTTGAGGGGTTTTGGGGTTTTGGGGTTTTGGGGTTTTGGGG